GCTTTTTTTTTTTTTTTTTTTTTGGCTACTTTTCAAATGTATGATTTCCAAATTTCTTTATTTCCATACAATTCAACTATGCGGTCCAGATGTGTCCTTTATTAATTAAATTTTTAATAGGTTTAACCTTTATTGTTGAAAGTATTACAGATGTCCCCCTTTTAAAAAAAATTATGTGCTTTACTGAAAGCTACACCTTCAATACGATGAATAATAATGAATTTTCAAAGCATTTGACTAAATCCAAAAACTTAAGATTTCAACATCATCATCTTGCTGGCATCTAGAGTGGTTTCGTGCCTCTTCCTTGTCACCAGTGTCCTAGTTCGTGTCTTGTTATTGGCTCCTTGATTACAGCACTGGTTCTTCTTTGTATCCGCTTCAATCTTAGTCTAATCCGTCCTGCATACTGGTGTTAGTCTTCTCCCCCCTCCTTGCTCTTATCATAATGACACCTTGAAACCACAAATATTAGCAGGCTTTCCCTCCGCTCAAACGCCAATAACAGTTCCACATCATTATTATTTTTAATCCTGCCACCATCCTGTTATAATTCAGATTTCAAAGCATGGCATTGGGACCATTCATTATCTACTCCCAGACCATTTTTCCAATAATTTATTTTGTCAATCTCCAAATACATCTTTGTTACCCCAATCCTGAACCACTGAACATACTGCTCCATTTTGTCAGGAACTTTCTCCCTCTCTATGAGTTGACTAAATTCTACTTGTTCAAGGTGTAGCCTCCATAACCAATGCTCCAAGCACATTTCATAACCCCCTTTCCCAGTTTACGTTTGCACTGTCATAGCATTTCCCACACTGTTTAATTTACTTCCTGTGTTGCCTGAATAATGGCTTCCCAAGATGTTCAGGCCCCAATCCCTGGAACCTGGGAATATGTTACCTTACATAGCAAAAAAGACTGCGGTTGAGATAAAGTTAAAGATTTTGAGGTGGGGTGATTACCCTGGGTTATGCAGCCGGGCACAATGTGGTCAAGGGTGCTTAATAAGGGGAGACAGGAGAGTAAGAGCTAGAAAGGAAAACTGGAAGATGCTACACTGCTGGCCTTGAAAATAGATGGGGACATGAACCAAGGAATGTATGTAGTTTCCAGAAGCTAAAAATGCCAAGGAAACAGATTCTCTCCTAACGCCTCCAGAAAGCGCACAGCCCTGCCTATATGTTGACTTTGGCCCACTGAGACTGGTTTTGAAATTCTGACCTCCAGAACTGAATAATAATAAATCTGTGTTGCTTTAAGACATTCAATTTGTTCCAGCAGCAGTAGAAATACACTTATCTTTTTGCTTCACTAGAATGTGGGCTCCATGAAGGCGAGGACCATGTATCTGTATCCTATTTCACCACTGGCACTGGCAAAAATGTATTTGTGTGTGTGTGTGTGTGTGTGTGTATGCATGCACACACATTTATGTGCCAAAACATGTACCTGTGTACATATGTAAAGTATGTTGTACTTTACAGAATGTTCTAGGACTACTCTTACTTTTGGCCTATACAAGGTAATAATAAACAACAAAGTTAGCCAGACTGGGGTTTAAATCCAGAAGCTTCTCGTTCCAGTGCTTTTTCATCATGCCATGATGCTTTCGAAGATTCTCTCCAGCATTAACATTGTCACAATGGTTCCCCACATAAGAGACATTGTACCTGTATCACTAAATATTTCAACTAGAATGTAATTGTTGGTTTACATTTTCAGCTTGAGTAATTAATTATAATATGGTGGCACAATTCAAATAAATTGAGTCACTAGAAGTTGGTTTGTGGAAGGGATGGGATCAAATTTATACATACAATTATAAGTAAAATATACTGATGAAATATATTACATGGTAGATAACTTTTTATTTATTTATAAGCTAAATGACAAGGTATTGGTGGAAAAACAAATTAATATTAAAGAAAATCTAAGAAGCAGAACTCTTAAAGACTGTTTTCTTAAGAGAAAGAAGCTAACTCCACTCCTTTGAGAAAGATTTGTACTTTATCTTATCACAGTTATTGAATGACTGTGGAGGTTCAATCAATTGCCTTTAAATTTTATAACGCATCATTAGGACAGAAACAGGTCAAGAAAAAAAATGAATAGGAAAAATAAACCCCTGAATTACCTGAATTTTCCGCAGCCTGGCCATCTGCTCCTCTAGCTTTTGGCAATGCTCCGCCAGCCTGGAGGAGAGCTGCTTCCAGCGGCCCTCAATGGCCTCAAACTCTGACTGATACCTCCGGCTGATGTCAGAGGGGGCTCTCTTTGGCATCTCCTTCACAGTGGTGCTGAGATAGTTTAGGCCACTCTGTTGCTCTTGCAGAGAACTTTGCAAAGCCTGGAAATTGAAAAAGGAAAGTACATGCACAATAACGGATGAATGACAATGTTCCATTTTGTAGTTTCATTAACAACCTTCAGTTAAATGTACTTAAAATGAAAACTAGGTGATTCAAACATCTAAAAAACTAGAAGATGTAATGATATCAGTCATAAAATGACTAGTGCTGATTTTAATTCTACTTTTATATCAGAAGATTAATTTGTACATTATTCAGTAATATTTTATGTGAAAATCTATGGCTATTTTTATGAACATTGTCAAATATACCCAAAACTAGATCTTCCCGAACCAGAGTTTTAGCACACCTAATTTTATTTTACCACATCTGTATATTAATAACTGCATTTATTATACATTTAATGGAGTTTCACTTAATTATACTGAGCCTTTAGGAAGACAACTTCTAACCTCCCTAGGTAATATAACTAAATTCTATTGATGTATGGGAAATCAAAACTCTGAATGTTACCAGAGGGATGGTCTACTAATGCCAGTTGACTAAGGTTTCATATTTTTCAAAAGGCATTGGTCTGTTTTGTAGTATTATAGTGAAATTCTTGGATAATTGGGGGAGGGGAATTTATAAAGTTAGTTTTATATTTATACTGTATAACCTATGCAATCCCTTATAATAGGATGCCTATCTTTAGGCTTCTCCTACTCAATATTTATTTAAATGTTATGTTCTCGTTATGAAGTAATAAAGGTTTAAGATGAAAACTGGGGAAAACACACATTATATGCAACTATTATGATTTTATATAAACTTAGAGTTCTTTCTATGTATGACAATATTGAATATCTGATCTTATCATAAACACACATTTATTCCTTCTTTTATAAAGCAACTTATAACATTCCGCCAAGTATGTCAAGAACATAACTTCTGTGGTTGCATAATACCTTATGTCTGTTTTGTGGCACTTAAATTTTCTTTGATTTTACTTTATTAAACTTTACCTTTGATTGATTATTTATACACTATCTAGCATGCCTGTAACTGCATTTTAAGCCAGGCATTTTACTGTGAGCCTCTTCCTATGTCATTAAGTATTTTCAAAAACATAAATTTTAATGGCTTCTCTAGTTCATTTAACCACTTCCCTTTCTTAGCTCTAAAAATCAATTTTGAGTTTTATACTGCTGTAAATTATGTTTCTGATCTATCACCTACCTATACGTTTGAGTATATTGTAATTATTTCTGCAAAATACAGACTTCATAGAAACAGTAGCCACGTATACAATTAAGTGAGTTATTCTGTATGTCACTGGGAGGTACTGAAAGGTCCTCCTCAGCAAACTGTACTCAATGACATCCCCCTAGGAAGTGAGGGCGTGTCGCTGCTGCCAGACCTGCACTTGCTCTCCTGGATTTCTCCTGCTGGGAATTTATCCTGGGAAAAGAGCCTCATTTTGAACATTTCTTCTTCATCTTTTACAGTTCGAGTTACAACTTTTCACAGGTTTAATGGTTGTTTATGTGACTTTTTGGTGACTTCCTTATTAATGTCTTTCTCCTTTGTGCAGCTAAATATTTTCTTGAGTCTCATTTTTCTTTTAAATCATCTCTGGTATTTTTACAATGTTTGTGACTGTTTCCATTGCTTTGTATGTTTGCCCATCATATGTTTTTAAAGATTTTTATTAACAAATTCTCCAACATTTATTATTGAGATGCCCTTGAACTCTTTAACGTATGCGATATTGTTCTGGTAGAACGTTTGATGCAAGGGTCTAACTTCACTTTTGTAGTTAATGTATTTTCTCAGCAATAATGTTGCCTTCTTCACTGTTCCTTCGGTAGAAATGTACTTTTCCACTCATCTATGCACCATTTCTTGTGTACTTAATCCACTCCCCTGGCTGCTATCCCTTTGTACTCTCATTTTTTTAATGTTTATAGCTGTATGAAGTCACATATTGTTCAAAGAAAATTTTGGAATCAATCCAAGTACTACAAACAGCAACATGAAGTGGGAAAAAGGCTAAACAGTTCTAGTGTTTTGGGTATTATAGTGGAGGAAATAGTCTAAATAGGACAATATACACTGGGAAATGCTTTTAGAAATGTATCTAAACAAATACTTCTGAAACGACTATTTTAAGAAATAGTGTTTAATTCTCAAAAAAGAACAATTGATATACAAAGTTAGAAGTTTAACCTTTTTTCTTAATTTAATTCCCAAAATACAGGTATATTATTTCAGCTACTAAATACAACTAATGAGTATGTTTTCACATCTTAAAATGTAAAATGTGATTAGATATACAACACAGGCTTTTCATAGATAGTAGAAGTATTCTAAAATCTCTTACAAATTATTTTATTTATTTCCCAAATAAGTATTTAATAATTCCCAATATAAAGCTGTTAAAAACACAGTTATTAAAAACCAAATAACTACAATATTACATAAAACTGGTGTTTAAATTAAAACTAATTTTATAACTACACTGATTTTACCTCCTGTGTGGAAACATGAGAGGAGTTAATAAGTCAGCAGGCAAAGGTAGAAGATAATACCAGAGCTTTTATAATAATAAAAATGTGGCTAAAAATGCATCCTAAGTGAGAAACAGTGTATTTCATAAATAGACCATATCACTGCTAACTTTAAAGAAGGTATTTTTATCTTATAGGCACAAATACATAAATATATTGCACTGATAAGTCTTATCTTCATTTTTCCAACTGGTAAACTATTGTACTTGCCACGATTATTTTAATTCTATTATTATTTTAAGGTTACACCACTGTGATTGCTCGGTAGATGAGACCCGCACTGTGCTGTTTAAGAATCAAATATCACAGACCTGTAACTCCCCGAGTCTCTGCTCCATGATCTCATATTCGGTGACGGTCACCTGAGGTATAGAGAGTTTGGCTTCTGACTGCTGGATCCACGTCACGACGGTACTCATGGTCTCCTGATAGCGCGTGGGTGGCAAAGTGTCAAAAACTTGTCAAAAGGGAAAAAAGAGAATCATTTAATTACTTTAAACTTTGCCATTATATTTTCCTAAGTTGTCAGAAAACTCAATCATCCTACTAATTACAAATATTAACAAAACGTAAAATCCTGAAAATACTGATTAGCATAGGATTATGTTGAAGATACAGTTCTTCTACATGCCCAATATTTTGACAGAAACTATGTATCTATTACACTGAAACCTCATATCAGCCTTGCAAGGTCTGCACTGCTAAATTCATTTTTTAAGGTGAGAAAATGGAGAAAGAAAGAAACTGAATAATTTGCCAAAGATAACACAGGTGGGACTTTAGAAAATGAGTGGAGTACACAGATATCTGACTTCGAAGGCCATTCTCCTTCCGAGATATCATTTGCCTTTGTGGGAAAGTATTGTTAGGCACAGCCCTTGATATATTTTTCAAATCCTATTGAATTTATTGGTGACTCCGGTTAATAAAATGATGTAGGTTTCACGTGTACGCACATCATCCGTGTATTGTACTGTGTGCTCACCATCCAAACTCGACTCTCTCTCCATCACCATTTATCTCTCCTTCACCCTCTTTTCTTGTAATCGCCATACTGTTGCCTGTGTCAATGGGGGTTTTATTTTATTGATTTTTAGAGAGAGAGGAAAGCCGAGGGAGAGAGAGAGACAGAAACACCGATGTGAAAGCAAAACCCCGAAGGGCTGCCTCCTGCAGGCCCCTAACAGGAATGGAGCCTGCAACCTGCGCATGTGCCCTGACCGGGAATCGAACCGGCAACCTTTCAGTGCACGGATGAAGCCCAATCAACTGAGCCACATCAGCCAGGGCTATGAGGTAGTTTTTATACATAGATGATAGATAGTTAGATAGATAGATAGACAGACAGATGATAGTTAGATAGATAGATAGACAGACAGATATATATATACATATACACACACATACATACATTCATTCCCAAATATATATAAAATTAAAGAATGTATGGGAAAGCACGTTTTTGTAAGTATATAAATTTTATATATAGTTTTATATATAGTTATATATAATCTTTAAATCATACATACATATGTGTATATACACTATATACAACTATACATAATTTATTTATATATATGCATACATACATTCTCATCTACACACAATATATGAATTAAGTAACTATACTAACCATGTTCAAGGAGATCATCAACAAGACTGAGAATTTTGGCAGAAAACTTCAAACCATAAAAACGACATAAATTTTAAGAAGAATTAAAAAATATCTAGAACTGAAACATGCAATAAGTAAAAATTAATAACACAATGAATGGGTTTAAAAACAGATCAGAGAAAGCTAAACAGAGAGTTAGTAAATCTGAAGACAGGCCAGAAGTATATGTATATTGAAATGAAGCATGGAGAGACAAAAGGATAAAAAATAAAGGAGAGAGAATAAAAGAGAAAACAGAAAAATGGTCTAACAGAAATGTAATCCAGAAAGACAGAGAGAGGATGGGACAGGAGCCATATTTAAAGAGATAATGGCTGAGAATTTTCCTAGATAAAACCATAGGAAAAAATACTACTTTATTTTTTATTAGTTTCAGGTGTTACAACATAGAGGTTAGACATTTATATAACTTACAAAGCGATCACCCCAGTAAGTCTAGTACCACCTGGCACCATACGTAGTTATTACAATATTATTGATTATTTTACATTTTATTTTTAATAGATAGTATCTGAGTTTCCCTTTTTTATACCAATTCCCTTTATACTAAATGAGAGAAATATAGGACAGTACTTTGCATGCTATTTAAATTTAACACACTCAAATTTTTAGAGTGTGTTAGAAATGGAAACAGAATTTTACTCAATGAACTTATATTTACTTGGGAGTGCATACCCAAATTTGCCTTAATAGGCTTTATTTAATCTGAGCACTTCTTATTTCACATTGAAAGATCTCTATGGTACTTTAAACCCCAATGTTTTCTTTCATACAAATAATGTGTTTCTCTCTCTACTGACCAGGAACATTTATTTGAATGCTAGATAATTACTAATAAACAAAAGTAAAGAAGAATCTCATGAATAGTAGTGAAGTAGTTAGTTATGATGAAGCCAAGAGTTTTGTCTGAGAAGGCATCTGAGCAAGTGATCTAGAAGGAGAGGGGTCTATGTTTAGAGAAAAGAGTGTATGTTGGATGGACTATAAACTGCATAAAGTTTGGTTTAATTAAACCTGGACGTGTGCATAAGAGAAAAAGAGTGCTTGCTTCCCTTGTGGCAGCGGCTGGGACAAACATGTATTAGACGCTTGCCAGAGGTCACGTGAATCAATCCAATTTTATCCAGATGAGGTCCAGAGGGAGAGATAAGTATGGGAAGAGCTGATGAAGATATTGGAATTACTTAGTAAAAAACGATGAACACGTTTTTATGAACATCTAAAAGGACTGCGTCTCCATTTTGTTTTCGCAGAAAGAGGCTGTGTAGCAGGACAACTGGCAAGTCTGCTTTGGAACTGGCTCTCCACTTACTAGTTTTGATAAATTCCTTAACATTTTAGCATCTTAGGCCCCATTTGTAAAAATGGCGATGTTGATACTTTTGAGAGAATTAACTGAGGTCATTTATTATTGCTTCATTCAGCCAGTATTTATTCAGTACTCTGAGCACCAGGGATGCAAGAAGTACAACTTTCAAAAGCATCTATTAGTCTGCTTTCTATTTTGTTTGTTGGTTTATTTCGTTCATTAGATTCCAGTGTAAGTGAGATCATGTGGTACTTGTCTTTCTCTGGCTTATTTCACTTAGCATAATACTATCCAGGTCCATCCATGCTGTCGCAAAAGGGAAGATTTCCTTGTTTTTTCATGGCCAAGTAGGATTAGAGGGCAAGACTGACAGCTGTTAGAGGGGAGGGAGTGGGGGGGCTGGGTGAAAAGGTGAAGGGATTAAGCAAAAAATAATAATCCTCATAGACAGACAACAGCATGGAGATGACCAGAGGGAACCGGGTGGGGGTAGAAGAGGGTAAAGGGAGTACATGGTGATGGAAGGAGACCTGACGTGGGGTGGCGAGCACACAATACAACACGCAGATGCTGTATTATAGAACTGTACACCTGAAACCTATGTAAGGTTATTAACCAATGCCACCCCGATAAATTCAATAAAAAATACAAGTAAAATAATATAAAAATGTTTTAAATTTCAAAAGTGAAGCCTAGACCATTATGATGCTTAAAACCTAATTGGTGAGTCAGGAAATGAAACAACTAAAGACACTGTAATGACTAAAGGAAATAAACGGGCTGAAGAAAAAATAAGGTATGAGGGGAGATAGCCTTCCAGAAAATGTAATAAAATGACTTGAAGATAGAGAATCAGATATAAAAATGCTGGAATAAATGAGGACCTACACAAGGGATGGTAAGCCATCAAGAGATTAGCAAGGCCAGGAAGCCACTGCCATTTCCAAGGTTAGAGGGACGAAGGGAGGGGGTGCGAGATGGTGCTACTAGAAACCAGTCACTTGGAGCACCCAGCAGGAGGCGACCTCACAGGGAGCGCCCCTCTGGTCGTGGAGCATCCCCGAGGGGTGCTGTTTCAGGACAGAGCTAGAGTTCTGGAGGATTCGCTCCCAGCCACTGGTGGGGATGCATCCTGAACCGACGAGAGGGGAGAATATTCCAGGTCTGCTCCTCTCCTTCCCCTCAGGAGCCTCCCAGTGCCGACCACTGGCTGAGCCACATGGGCAGCCAGTCAGAAAGGGTCCTGGGGAGTGTGGTGTCCATGGGAAGAGCTGGGAATGGCGCTGGGAACAGACGGGCGAGTGGTGCGCACCGGGGACAGGGAAGGCGCTTGAGATGNCAGGTCCATCCATGCTGTCGCAAAAGGGAAGATTTCCTTGTTTTTTCATGGCCAAGTAGGATTAGAGGGCAAGACTGACAGCTGTTAGAGGGGAGGGAGTGGGGGGGCTGGGTGAAAAGGTGAAGGGATTAAGCAAAAAATAATAATCCTCATAGACAGACAACAGCATGGAGATGACCAGAGGGAACCGGGTGGGGGTAGAAGAGGGTAAAGGGAGTACATGGTGATGGAAGGAGACCTGACGTGGGGTGGCGAGCACACAATACAACACGCAGATGCTGTATTATAGAACTGTACACCTGAAACCTATGTAAGGTTATTAACCAATGCCACCCCGATAAATTCAATAAAAAATACAAGTAAAATAATATAAAAATGTTTTAAATTTCAAAAGTGAAGCCTAGACCATTATGATGCTTAAAACCTAATTGGTGAGTCAGGAAATGAAACAACTAAAGACACTGTAATGACTAAAGGAAATAAACGGGCTGAAGAAAAAATAAGGTATGAGGGGAGATAGCCTTCCAGAAAATGTAATAAAATGACTTGAAGATAGAGAATCAGATATAAAAATGCTGGAATAAATGAGGACCTACACAAGGGATGGTAAGCCATCAAGAGATTAGCAAGGCCAGGAAGCCACTGCCATTTCCAAGGTTAGAGGGACGAAGGGAGGGGGTGCGAGATGGTGCTACTAGAAACCAGTCACTTGGAGCACCCAGCAGGAGGCGACCTCACAGGGAGCGCCCCTCTGGTCGTGGAGCATCCCCGAGGGGTGCTGTTTCAGGACAGAGCTAGAGTTCTGGAGGATTCGCTCCCAGCCACTGGTGGGGATGCATCCTGAACCGACGAGAGGGGAGAATATTCCAGGTCTGCTCCTCTCCTTCCCCTCAGGAGCCTCCCAGTGCCGACCACTGGCTGAGCCACATGGGCAGCCAGTCAGAAAGGGTCCTGGGGAGTGTGGTGTCCATGGGAAGAGCTGGGAATGGCGCTGGGAACAGACGGGCGAGTGGTGCGCACCGGGGACAGGGAAGGCGCTTGAGATGGCACCAAGGGAGAGCCATGGTTTCTGAAATATTCTATTTCTTAAGGTTAGTAGTTTGGTATGCAGATTTTCCCATTATTTTAGAATTT